TTCTGTAACGAAAGCAGCTTGCTGGTATTTAAAATCCTCCAGATAATCAGCAATATTTTCTCAGTCTTTTATGAAATTGAACCAATGATCTCATCCTATTAACAGGACACAAGAGAACCAGTTGGTGCAGTAGTTAAGGCACTGGACTAGAAATTAGGAGACGGTGAGTTCTAGTTCTGCCTTACATATGAAAGTCAATTGGGTGACTTTGATCTAGTCGTTCTCCCTCAGCCCAACCCACCCTCATAGCACTGTTGTTGTGAGGAAAATAGGAGGAGGAAGGAGTATTAGGAATGTTCCTTGTTTTGAGTGACTTAGAAAATAATAAAGCTGGGATAAAAATCCAATAAATTATTAAATAATGCTTCTACAATTTCACCGTTATTTTTTAGGGAGGGATTTGTGGCCTTATCTTCTCACACAGGATTCTATATCACTTATTTCCTGGCATAGTTTATATATTCAGTGATGAGGGATGCTATCTGTAAATAAAAAAAAGGAGCTTGGTAGTTTGAAAGAATAGGAAAAAATCAGAATCAAAATAAAGTATGCCTTTCATTATGTTTCTTGAACTGCCTGATAAACTAGCATGAGAAAAGGGTACCCATCTTTACTGTACTGGCTATTGTCTCGGTTATTTTCCAAAGAGGATGGTTAGCCATTCTTACTGAAAGAATTTAAGAATATTATAACAACAACAACATTATTGCCAATTACTCTTGTTCCACTGTGCCATGGACTAATCAGTGTCATCTTTACATTCACCTCCCAAAACTCTAGACACAAATGATACAGAGTTACACTACTTAACTATCCTACATTCAGTGTTGATTCAGATACTATTTTGACCTACTCACAACTATAATTTTATGAGGAATGAAAATCACTTATTTCAAGCCTACAGCTCTGACCTCATTTTCATCCTAATGCTGTGCTTTCCTGGCAACTGCAACTGACTATCCAGCAATAATGTATCCTAAATGTTCCGATTTTCGAGAGATTGTCTTGTTTTGACTCTGACTGCACATGATGTACAAACAACATGCATTTAAATTTCAGTATGTTCATTTTAAGAGACAACAGCTTGAACAGAAGATGTATCACAGATAGCTAGGAAAGCGCAGGGTTTAATAATTCTCTCAACTACTGATTTTGTACTGAAGTTCTCCCATGCACAAGTGTACATCTTTTAAAAGGGTACCACATTTGCATTTCCAGGCACAAGTAAATATTGTGAAATCCACAGAAGGGAAATCACAGTACAGTTAAATAGCAGATATGGAAGAGCCTGGAACTTGGGGGCTACCTATACCTGATGAATGTCTCAATATTTTTTTCTTTTTACAATCCTGTAATCCCTTAATTTGGGTTGAGTCCAGGTGGCTGAATGGAGCTGAATATTTACTAGCCTGACCCCTGTATGTTGTTTATAGATATTTTCTCTTTGCACCCTGAAAGAGAAACATTTGCTGCTACCTAGGATTGAACTCTCAATATTCTGAGTAGGAGACAAGCGTCTTCACCACTAGGCCGCCACTGTGCTCCATGAATGTCTCAATATAAGGATGAAACCAGTTGTACAGTGCCTCCTATAACAAGGTGCATTCCCCCTATTTCTCTGCTGAAAATCTCCTTCAGCTGCAGTATTTTCCCTTCAAAAACATATATTGTGAATATAGCCCGCATGCCAGACAGCAGACACACAATCCTCATGAGTGAACAATGGCTATTACAGAAGTACACAGATACCCCATACTCTTCCTCTGCTAGAGTCCTTATAAAAACATGGAAGAAATTCATGGAAATAGGTTTTGTGAGGAACAGCCTTACAACTCTAACAATTTCAAAGCTATATTGTAAAAATGGATGAATATGCAGTATATAGTTAGGATTGGTTCTATGATTTTTAATTTCTGTTTTGTATTGTGTTAATTGTGCTCATTTTGTTTCTCTCTCAGAACAAGTCCCTAATGTTGGGAAAATTGGAAGGAAAGAGAAGAGGATGACCAGCGGCAAGGTGAATGGATTTAATTACACTGGCAATGGGTGTGCTGTTGGTCGACCTGAAGGACTGGATACAGGATACATGATTCTGGAAAAGTCTATTTATGTGGTCACCAAGATGTTGACCTTGGAGACACTCAATCAATCAACAAATTACAAAATTGGATCTTTGATTTCAGCTTCCTAAATCTGTCAGGCTATGGTCACTGTTCTTCAAGAAATCTGTAATATTTTGGGTAAAAGATTCTTCATTTGTTTCCACACCTGCACTATCTTTTATTCTCTCTGGAGTTCTTTATTTTATTTTCTAATTTTTTCCTAATTTGCATACTGCTATGGTGCCATAATGTAGGCAGCTCTATAATTATCTCTTTCCTTTTGAATGTCTGCAATTTAACATTTAAAAGTTTAATAAAAGTTTTTATCATACTTTTTTAAAAAAACAACAACTTGATTTTGTTTATTTCCTATGAGTTTGATTTACAGTATATACCAACTGTGGGAGGAAGGGATGAATCCTCTATCACCATAGAGGAGGAGCCATGGAGCCATGGTGGCACAGTGGTTAAAATAGTACTGCAGGCTAATTCTGCTGACTGCCGGCAGTTTGGCAGTTCGAGTCTCACCCGTTCAAGGTTGACTCCGCCTTCCATCCTTCCGAGGTTGGTAAAATGAGGCCCTGATTGTTGGGGGCAATATGGTGGACTCTGTATACTGCTTAGAGAGGGCTGTAAAGCACTGTGAAGCAGTATAGAAGTCTAAGTGCTATTGCTATTGCTTACAGGGACAGGAAGTGGCACCACTTACAAGATTTCAATTTTTGTCTTTTGACATTTTAATCCCAACCCCAGTGCACATTGGGGTTAAGAGGTGAATGTCAAGAGAGATCTCACTGTACAATAGAGGATGGCAGAGGAAATTAGCAAACTACTACCTCAGTGCAGAAGGTGAGAATATGATGTGGAGACCCAAAGGGCTTCTAGGAGAGGAGGTTACAACTTCCAACATTTTATCTCATTGGCCTCAAATATCTTATAACATTTAAATCTATTTGTTTCAATATATTATGTAAGCCATCTGTCATGGTTCCGATAGATGACACCAACTAAAACAGAACTCTGAGGCTTGAGGTTTCCTTTAAGAATATGTTTATTGGCTACAAATATCGGCACTGTCAAAAGTGAAACCAAGACTAAAGTTCCTCCAAAAAGTTATAGTATACAAAGTTAAACTTCCCACCCCAGTACTACGCAGTCAATTACATTTCCTAATATAATAGTTTGGTGGGCTTTCTAACAGAAGGCTCAGCCCCCCAGTCTAATGAACAGAAATGACCTTGGTTCCCATGGGACAGAGAATTGTTTAAGCTAGCAGAAAAATTCCACCCCCCTTCCCATTCTGGTGGCAACTGAAAATGAGCCAAATGGCTTCATTCAGGTTCATTGCAGAGTTGACACCATCCTTTAGTTGTACCTTTATTTTATCATAAAGTCTCAGATTTGAATAGATCCCATTTCAGCTCTTTCCTATAACAACTCTTACGTCAAGTGCCAGGGAAATCAGGAGATTCAGGCAGTTCAAATGACGATAAAGATTTATTGCAAGCTTAAGCTCTCTACAAGAATCCGAACTTTTAGCAGTCAAGGGAAATGAACAGGAGATAAGAAAGGCATTTAAGGTGAGCTGGACTTAAATCTCTTATGGATGTGCAGGGATTCATACTGATGACATATTTGACTCCTCCCTTGGGCTCAGCCTGGTCATCTCCTACATCTTATATATATTCCAAATCCAAAAATCTCTGAAATATCATAGAGGAGGGTATCTGAAATTTATACTGCCTTCTATAAAACATCTAAGCATCCTCTTGTGGAAATCAACTTCTTTGACTTCAGAAGCAGGAAAACTGCACCCAATGATACCCTATCACTTCTGACTGAACCAGGGCATTGTATTCCATATAATATGCTATTATAATACTAAAGGCTCAAGGAATGGAGAATATGAAGTATGTCTTATTTCCCAGAAAAAGGAGATCACGGGATGCGAGTGAAAGCTGTGCTTGAATGAAGATTTTGGGTCATGTTTTTCAAACAGACACATGTTGCACAATTCATTTGTAATTCATAATATTTTCTACCTCTTAAACATGTGCAATTTGCTTGTTATTGCTGCTGTGCCTTAATTTCTTCTACCTTAATAATGATCTATTGCTGCAAGATCATAACAGAATGCCTACTGGCTTTATCGATCTTCATGAAACGGCTGAACATGACTCAGTAAGTCATCATATTATCCATAGGTCCTCACTGTATATCTGTGAGCTCCCCCAGACACTTATGATCTTCTGTCTGCGGCAGTCTGTACAATCAGAAAACCATCTATAAAAATGTATTGTTTTTATATTGGTCTCCGTGTTGGTGTTATTACAATAAATTTTAAATGTGCAGTTGTGTTTTTATTTTACTCTTATGAATAATGTTGGGTTTCCATAAAAGCGAAATGGCATATAAACATCAGTGGGAGCTTCTTTTAGCAAAAGAATCTACACTTATTTAAATGCAACTACATCTTCAAATACAAACAGTTCCTCAGTTCTCAGATCCAGTATATAGTTTTATTTGTACAGCACTCAGTGCTCCTCTGGGAGGGAGATGGGCGGTTTCAATATTTGATAAATAAATAAATATAGCACTAATAATATTCTGCCACTCCCTCAGATCCCACACATAGTCATTTAGTAGTGTATGTTTTTTTTAAATAATTTTTTATTAATTTTTCAATTAAAAACAAAAACATAAATCTTTTATCACAATATCAACCCCCAAAAAGAAAAAACAACAACACTAAGCAATACATTCACGGACGTGTCCGGTGTCCCCCCCCTGCACCACCCTCTTGCACTTACCACACCTTCCTCCTCCCAAACTACAACCACTCCACCTTCCTCGTAGTAGTGTATGTTTATACATACGCTGAACAGGTGCCGGTCTTACCTGGGTTGGTCTTAGAGGTGCGCACCGGCGTATAGTGGTTTTTCGAAGATGTTCGGATGGGTGTGTTGTCTTTGGGGGAGGTATCTATAGCCGAGATAGTCTCTCTTTCACAGTGTGCTATGGGGATTGGTCCCTGCTGCCGGAGGATATCGGCCAGAGCCCTGAAAGGAAGAAAGACCAATCATGCAAAGCTTTTGTAAAGCAAGTGAGCAGTAAGTGAAAATGAGTGAACTCCCCCTCTGACTTTTGATTAAAATAAAAAAAGGGAGAATATAGTAGTCACATTTCCTTTTGTGTACAAAACTAGATTTTGGCTGATCTTGAAAAATAGAAATCAGGGTCATAACTGCTTAGTTTTTATATGGGGCAGCATTAGGAAATCCCAGCGCTATAAGGTGGAGGGAAAAAGAATTAAAAGAAGAAAAGAATCCCCCCAAAATAAATTGTAGAACACCATTTCTGAACTGTGGCAAGAGAATTAGATGGGTGTGTAAATACAGGCTCAAACATTTTCAGGATTGGTGACTGTAAATATGAAATAAAATATCATCTGCCACTTGGCAGAAAGACCATGACAAATCAAGACAAATAGTAGAATGCAGAGACTTCACAATGACAACAAATTATATGTTGCCAAGCCATGGTTTTCCCACTTGTAACATATGGCTATGATATGTAAACCCTCAGAAAGGCTGAACGAAGGAAAAATTATGCTTTTAAATTGTGACACTGGAGAAAATGGTTGACAATACCTTGGATTTCAAAAACAAATTATTCAGTACCAGGTAAAGTAAAACTGCTTGAAATGAACGAAACCTTAAATATTTTGGGCACATAATTCCCAAATCATGTTCAGAAATAGCCCCAATGATAGGATATTGTTGCACAGAATCTCTACACTGACAACTTGTCATTCTTGGCACATGAAAGGGAGCTAAAATCTCCATTTCTGGTACTGTCTGTACTCATACAAACTCATCCCATCATACTTGAAGGAAGTAATTGGTGATTTTCATGTCATCTACTGATGCTAGAAAGGAGGAGAAAATAAGCTAGTAGAGCCTAGCAAAACGTACTCTTAAACCATTTCACATAAAGCTCTAAGGACAGAATAAACGGCAATCCTCATTACTGAGGTGCATTGGATCTTAGCCACCAGGGCAGCACAAATCACGGTAACATATTTTTCTGCCAAGACAAGGTCTGAAGGAATGTATGTTCACATGGCTATCAAGAAGATCCCTGAATCTCTTCTAGCTTTCTAAGTAGTCTACTGCATGCACTGCTTTATCTGATCAGGAAAACACCATTCAGAATTAGACTGAATGGGCAAGTTCTTGTGAGTTAAGTGACACCCCATCTTGCTTTATTATCTGGAAGATGCTTGAAGAAATGGACAGGTTCCTTAGGATTCAGCCACCTGTTCTTTAGATATATATCCCTTCTTATTAATTAAACCATCCAGGAGGTGATGTGTGGTTGAGTTCATGCAGTGGTAAATGCATCCCTGAAGGAGGTATCATGCTAAAAAAATCCAAAGCTATATAAGTGTAATAAAACTAATTTTGTTAGAACAGCTATAGTAACAGAATCTTGCAAATGTAAATATGAGCTCCCCCTCCTTCAACTTTAGGTGAAATAGGCAGGGAGCAGTTTGATGAATTTTCTCAAGTTGGTTTCTTGGCATGGACTTAAGCTATACAGTACTTGTCTGATTGTTGTCTCGGTAACAGATTTTGCCATTGTCCTTCAAGGCCATTCTTTATGTCTTCTACAGAACCCTATGATGGTGGACAACCTTGCTCTTTTCTCAGAGGCTGGGTTAGGGAATGTATCCATGAGGATATTTTACTCACATGCTTATTATATTAGTCCTTGTTTTATTACCTCTGTTGTTTTTGAATTGTATTAGATGTGTTCTTAATGTAATGTATAAATAGATAAACGGTCACTAAAATATCAATCTTTAATGTAAAAATCAGTGAAGATCATTTTTTCTAAATATATATATATATACAACTTATATCAAGGATAGCATGGACATACAGTATGTCAACTTTTCAGGGATGAGCAGAGGTTCTATCTGTCCACATTCTCATTTTCACGGACCCTCTCAAGGCTATGATACCGAAATTTAGTAGGTTTACTGTATGTTTAAAGACAAGAGCTTAAATCAGAAACCTTCCCTGGATGCTTAACATTTCTCTGTTGACATCCACACATCAGCCCCATCCCCCTTTGCTTCCTGGCGATTAAAAGAACAAAAATAATTTTAAAAAGTGCCATCACTGATTACAAAAAGGTTTCCTGCCTTTCTCTACTTGAAAAGATCTCTCTCTCTCTCTCTCTCTCTCTCTCTCTCTCTCTCTCTCTCTCTCTCTCTCTCTCTCTCTGTGTGTGTGTGTGTGTGTGTTTGTGTGTGTGTGTGTAAACATACTACAAGCAAGGAGAGCTTGTAACTACATTACAAGAGTAGTCTACAGATGTTAGATTAGTGGAGATTAACAGTCATATCCACTGCTGTATTTGTATTTGTGCATTTACATGTATAGATTAATATATGCCTCTGCTATTGTCTGCCTTTTCTCCCTATTGGTGATGAGGAGGTAAATGTGTGTGTACTTTCTTGCCACACCAAGTCACTATCATTCCCTGCAAAAAAAAAAAAGGGGGGGGATTATTGACTTATTCTGCTTTCATTCTCAATATTTAAAAAATGGTTTACAACTTATTAAAAAAATGGGGAGGGGCATGGATTTTAAAAAAATGAATCTTTCTATATATACTAGAAACAAAGCAAGAAAAAACTCTTTGAGTTCAGGGTTTGATGTCCTTACCTCTGCACCATGCTGCTCAAGATCATAATATTGATTTATTAGTACCTATATATGATAGGAAACACTTTCTAGAATGAGAAAGATTTAATTAGAAATATCCCCATGAGATCTTAGAATTGCAGAGCCAAACTATACCTGAAGTATTCTATTTCCACTCGTAGTCTGGTGTTTTTTTTAAGATGAAAAACATCTGCAACTAGATGTAGGCTTGAGAAGAAGAATAACATAAGGAATGTTGTTTTTTTTTAAAAAAAAACCCACTCTTTTTTCCCCCTTTCATTTTTCCATTTAGATCTTTATCCAAGCTACTTTCCAATCTGTACAGGAAAAGATTATTTATCTTTTTCCTTCATCCAGGAGAAAATGACTTGAAAATTTTCAGAGAAACCATAAGCGAGAGGAGAAAGAATTAAACAGACTCTTTCCAGATCACATCTTCCCCAAACTGCTTTTCTTTTTAAAATAAAAAAATAAAAAATATATTAAGGAGAGAAATGTGCAACTAGTGTCAAGCCTAGATTGAATCTTAATAAACAAAGTCTCTGCGAATTAGCCCTGTTCACCAAGGAGCTCTAATCATGAAGTCCAATCAGGCTAGAAGTAAAATCAGTCAAGCATCCTCCATAAATAAGTGTGCATTGGACTATAGCAGTGATGGCGAACCTTTTAGAGACCGAGTGCCCAAAAACTGGCCCCGCCCCTGCTCCACCCCTCTGCCTTCCCCCGCTCTGCCCCCATCCCCCGCCCCGCCTGCCCACAGGACCACTCACCGCCTCCAGGGCCCGCCGCAGATCGCCCAGGCAGCCCAGCAGCGCTATGGTGGCCACACTCTCTGCCCGCGCTCTGCAGCATCAACTGCATGATGGGGTGTGAGGACAGAGTCTTGTCTACACTGCCTGGCTGCCATGTCCTTGGCTGCGCTGCTCTGTATGGGCCACGCTCAGGGGCGACTCTCCTCCAGGGGGCCGTTGAAGAGGAGGGGGTCACAGGGGGAGGCAAGGCTGGGGCAACGGCATGTGTGTCCACAAAGAGGGCTCCGAGTGCCGCCTCTGGCACCCGTGCCATAGGTTCGCCACCACTGGACTATAGCTTTATAAACAATGCATTTTCCATGCCACAGATAGGTGCAAAGGATTTTCCCATCTGTGATTCACTATAGTTTTTACCTTTGTGGCAAGGACATTTCATTTTCTTAGAGCTGGGTATATTACAGCATTTTCCTGGAAAATTGTGATCCTCTGCCAGGTGGATTATTGAATATGAAATTGTTTTTAGCTCTGCTCAAATATTGCCTGCAATATGAATTGCACGAATGGCAAAACTTTTTCCCTTCTTCGTGCTTCTATTATTCTGTAAATCTCTGGAAGCTAAATGTATTATTATTATAATGAACAATTTCTTGTGGAGTTATTGGTGCTCTGTGAGCTGGAGTCATTGGTGTTCTCTGAGCTTGGCTGTTTGCTTAGAGATGTTTTATTACCCAACTAGTGAGTTGGGGGTTTGCTCACAGTTTACATACAGAAGCAACTGTAGTACTCTATATAGTACATGTGTATGATATTTATACAATATATATTTTATGTACTGTAGCTGTAATAGCTATTGTAGTACTGTAGCTACTATGTTTAAAATCCTAAAAACAGAAGGTTGACTCCTGGGTAAATCCATATTCGGAAAACCACAAACTGTGAGACCACCAGGAGATTAAAAACTACAAAAAGTTTAATACAGTTAAAACACCTAGCTTTCGCCGGCCTTCTGCCAGCATCATCAGGGTGACTAGCAGTCAATGGGATGGCCATTTATAGGAGTGGTGCCTTTTGCACCCGACTCCTAGACCTCGTGACCGGGCCCAAACGATCTTCCTGCGTTCAGTTCCTAATCGTCCTTTCGCAAGCTGACACGCTCTTGCCTCCTTCCTCCTCCGGACAACAAAGAGGTGCCTTGGGTGAAAAACTGCTTCCCCCCCCCTAACGTACGAGCAAAGCAGGGAAGGAATGGGGGTGGGGAGGAAGGAGGCAAGAGCGTGTCAGCTTGCGAAAGGACGATTAGGAACCGAACGCAGGAAGATCGTTTGGGCCCGGTCACGAGGTCTAGGAGTCGGGTGCAAAAGGCACCACTCCTATAAATGGCCATCTCATTGACTGCTAGTCACCCTGATGATGCTGGCAGAAGGCCGGCGAAAGCTAGGTGTTTTAACTGTATTAAACTTTTTGTAGTTTTTAATCTCCTGGTGGTCTCACAGTTTGTGGTTTCCCGAAAATGTAGCTACTATATATAAACTGAGAGCAAACCCCACCCTCCCTATCACTGGTGATGTTACC